AACATGAATCAAATATGTACTTTATTCATTTACATTAAATGTCATAABGYACATYATTCTGATTGGAGCTAAGGGCATACACTGTCTAACAGCTCCCACTTGCACTTAGGTCCAATCTGGTACAAGCCGGAGTTCCATTATTTCCACATGTTTCTCAAACACATTCTGTGACAGTGGCTTAGTCAATGGGTCTGCTACATTTTCCACTGATGCTATCTTCTGAATCAGGACGTCCCCTCTTCCAACTATCTCCCGCAGTACATGGTACTTTCTCTTGATGTGCTTCGACTTCGAGTGGGCTTGTGGCTCCTTAGCCTAAGCAATGGCTTAAGTGTTGTTATACAAGAATGGAATGGGTGATGTGCTAGATGGAACTACTCCCAATTCGTGAATGAACTTCTTCATCCATATAGCTTCTTTGGCAGCTTCACTTGCAACAATGTATTAGGCTTTGGTTGTGGAATCTTCCGTGGACCCCTGTTTGCTATTTTTCCAACAAACAACACACGATCCTATCGTGAAGATATAGCCAGATGTAGACTTTCTATCATCTGGATCTGATTGGAAATCGACATCAGTATACCCTAGGATCTGTAGTGAACTACCATCGAATACCAGACAAAACTCTTTTGTTCTTCGAAGGTATTTTAGTATGTTTTTCACAGCGGTCCAATGCTCCTGCCCTGGGTTAGATTGGTATCTTCTTACCACACTCACTGCCTGAGAAATGTCAGGACGAGTGCACAACATGGCATACATGATGCTCCCTACGGCTGAGGCATAGAGAACCTCTTTCATGCCCTCAATCTCTTCGGGAGTCTTGGGAGACATGCCCCTGGAGAGAGTGATTCCATGCTTGAAAGGAACATTTCCTTTCTTAGAGTTCTCCATGCTGTATCTTTTGACTATTTTGTCAATACAAGAAAACTGGGATAATCCTATTATCCTCTTCGATCTATCTCTATAGAGTCGAAAACCTAGTATGTAGGAGACTTCTCCAAGATCTTTAATGGAGAATTGTTGTTAAAGCCATACTTTCACCGTAGTTAACATTCCTACATCATTCCCAATGAGTAGAATATCATCTACATACAGAACCAAGAACGTAACCTTATCACCACTGGTTTTCTTATAGACATAGGGCTCATCCGGATTTTGCTCAAAGTCAAACTGTTTGACAGTAGAGTCAAATCGGATGTTCTAACTCCTAGAAGCTTGCTTAAGTCTATATATGGATCGGTTTTGTTTACATACCGTGTGTTCTTAACCCGCAACTATAAAACATTGCAGTTGCTGCATATAGATATCTTTAGGAAGATCTCCATTCAGGAATGCAGTTCTGACATCCATTTGCCAAATCTCATAATCATGGAACGCTGCTACAGCTAACAGGATCCTAATGGATCTAAGCATGACTGGTAGCTATAATTATAACCCTAGCAAGTGCACTAGTTATCAAGTAGTATAAAAATATCGTTCCCACGAGGATTTAACAAAATAAGTACTAGAACTACAGCCTTCCTTAATTATTTGGACAACCGAAATTCAGATCCAACAATAAGAACTACTGAAAATTAAAAATAGAAAAAGAAAATAAAAGCAAGGGTAATCAATAACTGAATATGCAACGATTAATTGAAATCGCTAGGACCATTGGTCTGCCTAACCATTCCAATGAATATCAATGGATGAGATTAACCAAGATGATTTGTCATTTTCACAAGCTGAAGTTTTTCAAATTTTATTTAATATTCTTTCCCAAGATATATCAAATCTACTTCTATCAAGTAACCCTTCGATCCATCGACTAGAGTTCTCAAGATAGAAATGCTTTAAGTTCAAAGAAAAACTTATACATTCAGATGAATCATGTGTAT